ATAACATCTAAAGAAGACAAAATCGATTCGTTCCTGTTTTTCTTTTTTATGACTTTTTTTGAAATAAAGAAACAGAAAAAGAAAAGAATGTTATTGCTCAATATAAGAATGATTCACAGTAGTTTTATACTTCCAACGATGATCAGTATCGCGTACAACTCGTGTACTTTAAACTACTATAAAAATAGGAAATGGATCTTCTCTAATTAGTGTAATTGTAGTTCGCGAAGTTGGTGCAATGTGGAATAGTTTTACAGTGAGCACTCCCTCCTTGAACATATAAAACATGAACATTTGCCGAAAATATAAAATTTGTTCTTTTCTGATTTTATTCTTTAAACAGAAAAATATCTACTCTTATAATGATGTCTGTTAAAAAGCGAGTACATTAGAACGATATATATGCTAATGTATGTATGTATCCACGATACAATCAACGGAACCGAAATAAAACAAAATAAAATAAATTAGAATTTCACTGCCGCAGAACGACCTGCGAACGACTGAACGGTCAAGCGACCGGCATTCATTTTGAAATGCTTTCTAAGAAGAATATAAAGTTATCGAATGTGCCCGGTTAACTTAACCAACACCGAAAAACTCTAAAGTATTTTTATTTAAGGTTTTAAAATGTTATAAAGAGTGAGCACATAACACCTATTCACTATTGTCAAAGCAACATCTGCTGTTATCCGTACCGGTTTCGGTCAACCGACAATCAAAAAATGAAAACTAGAAAAAGCACACATAAATCTACATCTTGACTTAAGAAATGAATTTATTATCTGGTATTTGCTCCTTCGTGAATGGAGTATGCCATATGTTTCATCTTCTGATCATATGTTTATATCCTACGATTTCTCGAGTTACATAAAGTTGTAGAGACACAAAACTTCATGATACTGACGAGGGGACCTCTCCAGATGTCCTACACCGACTTCACTGATATTTTCCCTACAGGTACAAAGAGTGTCCTACCAGCTATGCATATTTCTTGAATGCGATAATGTCGGATTTTTTCGGTGTTGGTTTAAACCAAACATCGGTTTTTCGATTTGAAATCAAAATCGGTGCGTACCTAATGTGCCCTAGTTGTAAGTTATTCCGTACTCTGTCAACTTTGTTAATTAAAACCAAAAGAAACTGAATGGACCTTTTTCTAAAAAACAGATCAATATATAGTACAACTTGTGTGTTTCAGATTAGTATAAAAAGTGGGAAAAGGTCCTCTCTAATTATTTTAGTTTTAATTCACGAAGTGGGCAGAATATTGAATTATTGAATAAAATCATAGTCAGCACAACTTCTTTTGAACATAAAATAAACGAACATTTTTACCCGTCGGTCAAATCGTCTAAATAGCTTGGAAACATCTAAACCAACCATTTTTGAAAAAATCGAATATTTTTCTGTGAAAAGATTTGACTTAGATGTTCTGAAACCAGAAAAGGTTTGATGCGACACCGTTTTTTTGAAGCCACTTATTCTGTTTGTCGCTTTTTGTTTAAGCAAGATTTCTTTTTAGATAATTGCTGCACAAAACAGACCTACACTTGGCGTTCGAACTGTTAGTGTTATAAGTTAATTTTTTAAAGTACGGTAGAGAAGAGAAAATCACTTATTCATAAGTTGTTTACTTTGCTGTTGCTAGGTTTTTCTCTGTCCCTCCATGTCGCTCTTAAACTCGATTTGTAAATTTAATCCGTGTGACACACAAAATCTGTTATAGGTGGAAAAGGACGGGGAACGAGAAGACCGCAAATCGACCCCCTCTTAAATCAATCTTAAGTTATCTCATCTCATGCAGGTTTTGTCCATAATTAACTCCAACATATTTTTAGGCCGTAAAAGTCCTTTCCAGCGCTCCTGGAAACCTTTCAGCAAAAAACAATCGTTCGTTGATATATAGGAGAGTCTTAAGAAAATGTAACTAAGTAGTCTAAGGTTACGAATACTCGGTAGTATCTCGCCAAACCGGTGGATGAACTTCGTTCATGTTTATAATAATGACCTATTTTCTCGTTAACTACTCCTCTTCCATGACCAACTAACTAAATTCCAGCAGACAAGTATTTCATGTGACACTCTCTTTCGCTTCTATCGAATTCAGCTGACGATATAAACAATCGAAGTCTTATCTGTCTTAACCGAAAGTTTGCTACTGGCGACATAAATGTTGTCGCCATTAATCTAAGTATATTGGCCACTATTTGAATTTTGAAATGGCGTACGATGTTTTGCCAAATGTCCGCATGGCTGCCCACTGTGCAGTAGTCATTTGGTTTTGGAATTTATACTGAGCTGGTAGATCATCGAAGGAGGTTCGTGCTTTGCGACAGAATGTCAACTGTTAGGAAGTAAGTAGAACGATGTTGACCATTATTATAAGCGTAGACGGGGGGACTACTTCTATTCTTATTAAAATAGCTCATCTTGTAGAAAATTAAACCTCTGTAAAATGACGCTGAATCTGGCTTGGGCAAACATGAGCGAGACGTTGATAATCTGATGGTAAAGAAAAACAACGGATCGTCTGCGATCTACAATTTATTGAAGTTTGATATTCTTCTGTCTATCGAAAAAAATCTGTCTCAGCTGTATAGACAATATGTTTCACAGTTCTGCCGTCTGCGGATAAAAATTGTTACTGCGATATCCAGCTTAATTCAAAAGCTTCTTTCACTCTGAACTGAGCATTCATCCCTTTCTTACAATATGTATCATACAGTTGTTCACCAACTTACATAAAACAAAAGCTGCTTGAACGCAGACAAGGTTATACGGAAGCTTTATTATATCTATATTTTATATTTATGGCGAAAGTTGCTTCGAAGGCATTGCATACCGAGCAGTCAGAACCACAACTCCATTATAAAACTGTAAACATGGGCTGATCTTTCTCAGTAGTCCTACCCTCATTTTTTAACCCGGCTACTGTTTCTTCGTAGTCAGCGGGTGGAGTATTCAATTTCATCGTTCTATCGTAAACTGTTCTCACCACAAGTTCGAACAACGGAATGAACACGAGTTTAAATAAAAGAAATATTAAGGTGAAAATATCGAGAATAACAAATGTAAATAATAGAGTGTGAAAAATAACTTCGGTTTGCTTTGCGATCGGCTTTTGTTCGTTTAATATAAAGTATGCTGTTTCACTAATGACAATTGTCACATTTGTTTGTGTATCTGTTGCGTACAAGTATTCCGTTTCGGAGAAAAATGATTCGTATGCATTGATGATAAAAGATGGAATCCACAAACCGCTCAGATCTCCGTCTCCGCCCGCAAGTGCACTCGTTTTATTTATCACTTTCGATACTTTCAAGGTCACATCCACATTTCTCGACAATAATTGACCAGTATTATTGAATGATTGATAGAAGCCGAGTTGTTGCAATGTTTTATGACCGTCTTTTGCACTCGAACCCGTCAGACCAAGTCGAAGTCCGCCAATCAGATAGATATCCGACAGAGTGAATCGAATGGTAATGCCTTTGTACGGGAGCGTGACACCAACCGACAAAATGTAATTCGAATAGTTACAGGATGCGTACTTCAGAGAATTCCATACAGTGCCACGCAAATCAGCCACTATTATGTCCTCACAAGTGAATGCCGTATTAATAAAATCAACGTTCAATGTGAATACTTGATTATTCAACATTTGTGCCATATCCAGATCATCACCTGTCAATGGAATGGCAATCGGCTGTAAACTCGAAGCAAACTGTGCATTTCGAAGCGTTGTATCACAAGCAAAATCTGACGCGCCCACCGACTCTGCTGGATACTGTTTGTAAAAGTTACCGGCGAATGAATACGGACTGTTAATTTATTACGTTATCAAAAACTTTGTCCTTCCTCTATATTATTACTTGCCATGTTTGGACGTTCTGCTCTTCACCCTCCTATATCGTAATCAAGAAGGCATAATTTCGATTTTTCTCTAGGATAAACTTCGTAAACCCTAAGCCTTTTCTGCTCCAATTATTGAATATACGGAGCCGTTCACTAGTGTTTCTGCCGAGAATTGGCAGCGGCAACCCAAGTCACACAAGTTCTACTTGGATCCGATCGCATTGTTGCCAGATCATACACATATAAGAGAAAAAATTGCTGAAAAAAGTGTATTTAGAGAAGAACTGGAGATATCTATGAACGGGGTAAAAACGAACAAAACAAAAACAATGTTGAGAAAAGATCAGAGGATTAGCTTCAGTAAGTGCGGATAAAGTATGTTATTGATGCTCATCTCATTATGGCGATTATTCTTCCTTTTAGGCCGTCGAAGAAGTAATTTCACCAGAAATAGAGGCATATGCCGTATACTTATTATTATTCACTTTAATAGATAATTAATAGGTACATTAAAGCAAAAAAGTAAATCAGTGGTCGCTAGCAAAACAACGGGGTGTTTACAGAATTTGAAAAAAAGTAACAAAACGAGTAAGAACGCGCAGCAGTTATTTAGTTTAGAAGTAAGGATAAAATAATAAGGTTAAGTTAACTACCTTGGGAGCAGGAACGGTTTTGAGGTGATTGATTTAGTTGAACTGAATAATGCTAAAATACATGTCTAATTGAAATGTTCACAGATAAACTGAAGAGTGAATTATCATTGATCAAATCTTTTGATAATAAATGTGTCTGTGAGAATCTTTACCGTAACGGTAATATAAAAGTACAATACAGTTATACTGTGGGATGAGTTCCTTAGAAAAGATATGGATTATATCTTTACTCTTTACTTTTGAAATAAAAGATACCACTTTACTATTACTCTAAAAAGGAGCGGCAAAGTGCCACGTCTAATTACAACTGACTATACAAATGTTATAATCAGCCAAAGCAATGAACCGTATCGAAAGAATTCATCGTTGATGTACAAAGAGACGTCGATAGAGAAGCAGTGAAACAAGACGAGACGGAAGATGATCCTTTACACTCGGGTCCATATGTGATTTCGTCGGGTTATTGGCAACTACGCAGTAGCCACTGATGTCAGTATTATTTTTCCGTAGCGTTTTTCCTTATACAGTCCAGTTTTTTCCTATTAGTGTATTGGTCGAAAATTGACTCTGATGAAAATAATTTTATCGTAGTTTTTCAGACAGCATTGTGAAAGTTACTATTAACAGTATAAATGTTTCATTAAAAAAGAAAGTTAATTCATGAAAGAGAAGACCGGACAAATGCGAATAGCTAAGATCAACAAAGATGAGAGTCCTTTGTCATTGTCATGACAATCTGCATATAACGATGATTCTCACGAATGAATAAAAGGATTGATTGACTATATCTCTGGTATTTCTATTTTACTCGGGAACCCAAAGACGATCCTACGCGTTTTAAAATTTAGATAGCATTTCTCAGATGAATTATAATACCACAGCTATACATTTGAGTTAGCATAAATGTCAGTAAACTCTCGGAATCGGACAACAAAGAAAATCATACAGAGGTCTTTCAGAAAAATTAGACTGATAAAAGAAGGATTTAGCGGTCAACAGCAGCGATCACAGAGAACTCAATAACTTTCAAGTCACGACATTGATGAGGTGACGAGCTGTCTAGCTGCTCAATTTCTCTTCCTCAACACACTGAAAATTTCCTTGCTAGTATAGACGTACTGGAAACCTACGTACGGGCAAAGCGCAGAATAGCTGACACTTTGAATTATCTGGTAGTCATGCTTATTCATCTCAAATTTTCCGCTCTCAGCATCGCAGGAATTGACTCTCAAAAAGTCTAGTAATACACGTACACAGCTTTTCTTATACAAATGAGCAAAACACCAAGTATCCACCATCGCTTGTCGTCACTGATTATCTCTAGACCGCCTCTTCTCATTCTATTACTGATGACGCTATATGTACACAGGTCCATAGGAAAAGCTGAGCAGAACGATGACCGAGAATGAAACGAGACCACCAATCCATAATTCACCCTCGCCAATCAAGTCTGCTTGTTTCAATATCATTATTATTGTTTCTCGTGCACGTTCGCTTTCT